AAAGTGCTCTCATGTGACCAGAGGTATAGCCTGGGAAAGCCACGCCTGGTATCGTTGGTTGCGTTCCTGGGTGTCCTTCTGGACTGCACTCCGCAGTTGTGTCTTAACCACATCGACCAACACTTGTGGCCGGCTTGCGTCCGGAAAGCTTAGACACATCCTGTCCGCAAACTCCCCAGCCGTCATGCCCAAGCTGTCGTCGTGCCAGTTGTCGGCAACCTTGACCAGGTGTTCCTTAATTTTTGCTTGAACTCCGGGCGGGACAGTACCCGGATAAGAAGCCAACCAAACCCCCAGACGGTTCCAAAAACCAGCGAGGTTGCCTTTCCACTGTGTGCCCTCCGGCTGCTGGGGTGCAAGGGGCTTCCTCACCCAAGCTAGGTTCCAGCCTCGGCCCCCGTCTCCATGCTCCAGAAGGGAGCACTCAACGCTGTGGCTAAAGTCTGCCAACCACCGGGTGGGACGGTTGATTTGCACATGCGACATGACACGGACAAAAGGGGCTGGGGACCAAGAGAAGGACGCCTCCCTCTTGGCCCTGACAGCCGGCTTTTTCAGAACCTGAAGCATTGGTAGCTGGCCAACGCCCCACTGCAGCTGCACACGCAGTGCCGCGTGCGGCCGCCAAGGAACCGCCCAAGCAACACTGACTGCCGTCAGGCCCTGGAGGCGTCTATGGACCCAGACATAATCAATTTGGCCGCCTGTGCTGCACGTGGCCTCCCCTGCACCTATGAAGGCGCCGCTCGTGGTTTCAGCAATTCGGGTTTGCCGAATGGTGTCCAAGTCACAGTTAAAGTCACCAGCCACGAGCCACGGCACAGCCAAGGCTTGCAGTGTTGCCGCCAATTTGGCCAGGATGGCGGCATTGGTGGGTGTGCTTATGTCCTGCCCCGTTTCCAGGTAAAGACTGCCGAACACAATGTCCGAACCTGCAAATCTGGCAACTGCCAGCACAAACCCCTTACCCTGCAGTTGAAAACTGTCCAGGAAACGGAAGTTGAGGTGGCGTTTTGCCAGAACAGCCACCCCCCCGCTACTGCCTCCTTGGCCCGTTTGGCAGCTGTTCTCCATCCACATTCGGAAACCTGCAGCCTCAGCACCCTTGTGCGCTGCAGGTACGTCTTTGTCCAGAAGATGGGTCTCCTG